GCGGGAGAGGCTGGGGCCCCGGGCTCCCCGGGGACCCCGAGCACCGGAGGGCAGCGGGTGAGTGAATGTGCGGATTAGGGGGACTTAGGAGAACTGCGTCCCTGCGAAGCTCCGGGGCACTCCGCGAGGGGCTCAGCCCCCCTTCCCGCCGCCGGGTTTAAAGGCAAAGGGCGGGGCGGGGCGCGCACGGCAGCCTCCCACCTGCGTCCTAGGTGGGTGCCGGGGCGTTTCCCACGCGCCGGGGACGCTCCTTCCTTCTCCCCGCGCCACTCGGCACAGCCTGGTCCTAGTGGGTAGGTGGGTGTGGGGGGCTGTGATGGGATGGGGCTTGGAACCCCGAAGGTAGAACAGAGGTTCCTGGGCATTTCCACTTCGGAACGCCCATCCAGTTCAGACCCGAAAAACAGGGGTGCAGCTTGGTGGTCAGCGGGAGCGGAATTTAGAGGTCGCTTGACTTATATCTGGGGTGTTTTTATAGAATGGACTTCTTATTCCCGCCCCTGCGTTCCCTTGGGTGTAAAACTTAAGGAGGGTACACACTGCCTCTGCGTGTGTCTGTTAACTAGGCGCCAGCCACTGATTAAGCTCCTTCCTTTGAGCCTCTCAATTCTTCACTCTGCCTTTCATGCTGCCACGAGTTACCTTCATGAAAAGTCAATCTGGCCATTTGAGATTACATTTAAAACTCCTCTTAGGCCACCCACAGCCTGGCTTACATTCTTAGCTGGGTGTCCATGGCTTTTCACAGTGTGGCCCTGAACCTGACCCTGACGCTCAGCCTCGTTTTCCAAACTCCCTAATATGTTTCCTGTCTCACGCACTGGACTCCCAGCCACGGGGAAGGGTGTGCCTGCGTTGTGCCCTTTCATGCCTTGGTACCTATGCTCCTGCTGTTCCCTCTCCTTGAAGTTCTGGCCACTTCTCTGCCAAGTGAACTTCTGTTTCAGGACTGAGCTCAGTCATCCCTCTGAAAACCTCTATTCCCGGCTCTTCCAGACCAAAGCAGTCACATCTTTGTGTCCGTTAAGTACTGTACCTCTGCTACCAGTGGCACTGGTACAACTCAGTAATATGTTCCTGAGCTCCTAACATGTACCTTGCACTGTACTGTGCTCAGTGCCAGGTGGACAGAGAGATGAATAGGACAGAGTTCCTGCCTTTAAGGAACTCATAGTCTGGAAGGAAAAACACATGTAAATGAGTCTCTGCAGTTACAGTGTGACAGAGAAGTCTGCCTTGGCCTCCTCACTCCAAGCTCTCTGGAGTGAGCTTATCTACTTCCACAACTTCACACACTCTCCTGGTATATCCTGATACTTCCACAACGTCAGCCCTGACCGTTCCTTCCGCACCTTTGAGACTTGTCCACTTGGGTTCAGATGAGGGACCATATATTGGGCATCTACATTGTGCTGAACGCAGCGATTCCTGATCTCAAGGAGTTTATATTATAGTGCAGTTGTTAAGGGGGATTGAGTTAGAGTCACCTGATGAGCATTTTTAAAACACTCTTCTCCAAGTCCCCCTCCCCCCATAAATTTTGATTCAGTAACTAAACTGCAAATTCAAGGAGACTAAGAAGCAGTTCCTGCTCTTAGGGAATCTAAGGCTAATG